AATGTTCTTTAAAAGAAATGCGTTGTTCTTTCTGGTGGTCTATGTCAGGGGTCTCCAACCCCTGGCACAACTCCCCCCGCCCGCCCCCACCGGCTGCACAGGAGGTAAGTGGCAGGCTTCACTCACATTACTGCCTGAGCTCCACCTCCTGTCCCCCCTACCCTATCCTCAACCCCATCTGTAGAAAAACTGTCTTCCACAAAACTGGTCCCTGATGCCAAAAAGGTTAGGCACTACGGGTTTATGTGAGTACTCACCATATGGTTTTCTATTAACCTCCTATAAAACAGAGACCCTATCCTAGCAAGGGTGTGGATTTCTTCTCAGCCAGCTACCACTGGGAGCAAGCAGCTGCTATGTCTGTATATATAAAGTTCTCATATTAAGCTCTTATGAATTTGAATAAGGCTATGTGTCATTTATTTGGAATTGATCCTGAATTTAGACTTTTGGGGCTTTCCCCAAACAATAGTCAATAAACATATGATGAGATGTACAACCTCACTACTAACTGAACACAATAATTTAAATTAAATTGTATGTTATTGAGTATAATAATTGAAATTAAAACAATGAACTATTATTTTTCCATCATTGTGATAAATAATGGAAAAGATTAATAATATTCATTGTTAATGAAGCTTCAGGGAAACAGATACATCATGCATTGATGGTCAGAGTATAAATTTATAAAGTCTTTTAGGAAAGCATCTTGGCATTGTCTATTAAAAATTTAAATATGCATAGCCTTAGGCCCAGCAATTCTCTTTCCAGAAACCTAACCAACAGAAACACTTGGAAATGTATATAAGGATGTTCACTGAAGCACGGTTGTGTTAATGTAATATGGGAATTTTCCTAAGTTTTCATCACTGAGGAATGACAGGATGTAGTTTGGTATTGCTTCGCTATGTAATAACAATGACAAAAAAGTGCATATAGTATCTTCAACAATGCTTATAAAGCATTAAGTGTAGGTCGTTAAAATATATGTGTGGGTGTGTATGGATGCCAATAGAAGAGGGACTTGAAAGATCTAAACTAAATAACTGACGATGATTATCTTTGGGGATGACAGTGGAAGTGGGATATTAGGGTATAAGCAGGGGAAAGACAGAATCTCACATTTTAGTTTTGACAGTGTTTGAATCTTGTACATATAACTTTTTTACATAATGCCTGTGTCATAGCAGATTACAAAAACATTGGTGTAACTATACAATTTTGTGTAAACAGTACTAAAAATAGAAGTTACACAATACTGTAGGTGGAAGAGATCTCCAAGAGCTGGCACACACCAAGAAGGCCTCATGAAAGAGGAAGTGTGGATAAGGGACCTTGAATAAGATGTACAATCGGAATAGGCCAAGGGGAAAAGGGGTATAGTCTCCGAGAGAGGGTGATGTTATCCACCAAGTGAAGAGCATTTCATTTATTCGTTGACTATTTGTTGAGAGTCTGCTGTGTACAGATACGGTTCCAGACATTCATAGTCACCATTATCATCATCATCATCATCCCCCAAAAATATATATTGTGTAGACCAATCCATGTGAAAAAGGCATTTTCAATGTTGGTGGGGATATAAATTCATTAACTACTATAGAAGCCAATTCAACTCTTTAAATTGTATCAGCCTTTAAATTGAGTATACCATTTGCCCCGCAATCTTATTTCTAGGACTTCATTCTAAGGACAGAAACGCTAGCATAGATTTAGTGACAAGGTAGTACAACTACTTTAGTGACAGTAACTAGGAAGCTAAATTGTGGTACATCTACATCATGGAATACTATTCCACCATTAAAATAATGTTATGGAAGCATATTTAACAACATAGGGAAATGTGCACATTATTCAGTAATGTGAGAAAAGGGAGTCCCAAAACAGTATTTATGGTATGAGTGGAATTAGGTTTTTAATTTTTATATGCATAAAAATGTCTGAAAGGATTTACAATGAAATGGTAAATTATGACTGGGTGGAGATATTGCAAGTCGTTTTTTCCCCCATGTTTTCTCTAATTGGACTATATTATTTTTGCAATAAGAAAACAATCAATATGTGGTAATCAGAAGAGCCAACCCTCCTCTGACACTTGCCATGCCAAGAACCATCACTTAGTTGAGTCAGCAGGAGTCAACCTCTGTTTGCAACAGCCAAAAGAGACCATCAGTCTTTCTGGAAGTTTATAGGGAAAGACAAGTAATTTGACCTCACATTAAGAACATTGCAAGGACAACAGAATAGTCCATGGTCAAGGGGCAGGGGGTGGGGAGTGTTAGAAAGAATTCCCAAGAAAAGCTAGTTCCTCTCTCAGAGAACGGCTTAAGGAGTGGGAAGGAGTGCAGAGTGAGCAAGCAGAAAAGATGAGCCATGGGGCCCAAGGGGCAAAGGCATTCAATTCAGAAATACCTCTTGATGGGGGGATTCAAGATTATGAAAAAAGTTTAGTTTTAAGTTCTATAGTTAATGAGCTTGGTAATTAATGCATATAAAAAGCTATTGTTTCAGGAGCTTGAAGGTTTGACCCACCCTGACTCCAGAAGACCACAAGCAATTCAACCTTTGTGGCCCAGGAGGACTGCAAGCAATCAAGATGGTATCTGAGCCATTGTACTCAAGGGAGAGATGTCCACCAAGGTCAACAAACGAAAGGGTGCTAGGAAAATTGCTGGACTGCAGCTTTCATCTGATTAACTTTTTCCTGAATTTCCTTACCTACACCTTTTTCTACTTACAAAAAAGGTCAGTTTGAAATGAAATATAAGCCAGTCTTTCAGAGAACATAACCCGCTGTCTTCTCAGGGCGCCAACTATTTGAATAAAGTGCCCCTAAAGATTCAATTCCTGTCTTTACTTACTAGTTCTAGTAGGAAAGGCAGCACAAACACCAACTTTTCCTGTTTCACGCTCAGAGTTTCTACTTAATATTCCAGGCCAAATGCATCTTCCCACAGAACTTTTCATGTATTGTTATTTTTTGCTCCTATTTTCCATGTAACAACTACTCAGTTGCAGATTTAGGAAAACAAGGCCCTTGGAGATGAGTGAGGCAAAGAGCCTGGGGAAAGGTACCCTGGAAGGTTGGGGCCATAGGCCTTTCCCCAGCCTGTTTCAGAAAGGACGGAGCCGAGACTCCACACACTCCCCTCAGCCCTGTGCAGACAGGTTCCAATCTAAACAAGTCTGTCTGCTTTCATGCCATTCACTTGGAGTTACCGCTCCTTAATCCCTTATAGTAGATTCCTGGAAGCCTAAGTGGATCCTTCTAGAGGTATGATCATTGATTCCTAAATTTTGAACCTTCTCATCAGAAACTCATGGCCCAGCCCAGAAGCTGAGGAATTGTGAAAAACAGGAAGCCCTGAGGCAGGGGAGGTACAGCAATGGAAGCTTAGCTCCTTGGAGAGTTAGAACCACCTCCAGTGGAAAAGCCAGAACAGGTTGGGGAAATGAGTCTGAGCTAGAGACAGAGGAAAGAGGAAGAGGGAAAGAGACAGTGAGTGAGGGAAGGGAGAGGAGGAGGGAAGAGAGAAAGGGGAGGGTCAGGGGATGGGAGGGAAAGAAAAGTAAAAAGAGAAAGGGAATTTTGAGAAAGGGGGAAGATGAAGAAAATGGAGGAAGGGCAAAGAGAAGGGAATAAGGTGGAGAGGAGAAAAGGAGTAGGGGCAGATTTTTAATCCCCCTGAACGCTTATGAACTCCCTCGGGGCAAGTACACGCAAATGTTCTGAAAGGAACCCACTTCACTCCCTGGAAGTGGATTCACTTTAGTAAACTAGGTGACTGCACTCACTTGAATGTAAGGAACCTTTTTATCTATTCTAATTAGCAGACTTACTGCCAGGACACTAAGTATACAGCTCCAGAATACACTATGATGTAAAAATAAAAAGGACATATATACAATCTTATGTTTCAGAGCCAAGTTATATACAGAGTGGATTCCCTCCCCAGGCTTCTGTTTTCTGTGCCAAAATATATGAGTATATTTATACTAATAGTCATTTATTCTCTTGAATTAAGTTGCTTAAAAGAAAAAATGATAACATTTTGGATAATACATCATTCTGTGCTTAAGAACATTTCCAAGGACAAAGGTAGGCTGTTTAAAGACTATCCACATAAATTATTTACATTAACATACCCCTTATTCATATAGGATAGTAAAAATACCTTTCACAACTGAGTTTTATCCCTTGAAAAAGCTTATCAAAAGATCACTAATGCCTTTAATATTGTACTACATGTATATAATAAAATTAGATTCATTTTTCATATTCAGGACTATCAGCTTTACTTTATGATCCCCTTACTCCTGTGCTAGATCAAATTCAAAGTAATCTAAGATGTAATTTTAGCAACCAATAGAAAATCTTATTAAAATTGTGAAAGGTGTCTTGAATAGAACATTTGTGATAAAAAAATGATAACCCTCCGGCATGGCACTTGGCAGCTAAGATGTGCAAGAACAAGGCCCACACTTGTCTGGAGACAGTCTGTCTCCAGAAGGAAGGGCTACCTCTGGTCCTTTGCCCACTTTCAGGTGAATTTCTCAATGAGCTTTGGGCAACAGATCAGAGTCACCAGTCTTCCCTGTTTTGAGGCCTGGCAACTGACATCAGGACGTCTCAACATGTGCCTCTTCTGTGGATGCCTGGCACTCAAAGGCCAAAACAACCCAGGCTTCCAGACCTGAGCTTAAGGCAGAGCATCCAGTCAGTTCCAGCTTTTAAATGTAAAGGAGGTTTTCCTCCAGGGCAGGCTGAGCAGCGTAGGGGTCTTCCTTCTTTCCGTCCTAGCTTTCACATCTACCAAACACATCAGCCCACAAAACAATCTACCTCAGCGCATGATCTGGCTCCTTGTGGCAGCAACTCTTAGAGGCTGAGAAGATGTGCTCTAGCCCAGCAAACTCATCCTGGAAGCTGCCTGGCCCCTGCAGGGAGGACCACTGACCTGCCCCCATGCCTCTCCTAAGAGAGTGGATGTGCTTACCTCTCATTTCTGTCTCTGAGGAGCCGTTGGACCAGGCTGTCCACTTATTCTTGTACTTACTGATTTCCTGAACTTTGCAGACGTAATGCCCTTGATCCGCTGGTTGGAGAGTCAAAACAGAGAGCTTGTACAGCACTCCGCGCCTCTCCTCCAGGAGGCGCAGCCGCTGCCTGTAGGAGCTGCGGCTGAAATTCCCATAGTACTGCACAATCCTGAGCTTGGTCATCTTAACCATCAAGGCCTCTTGGGAATTGGGACGCGCAAAAAACCAGCGCACGGCCAACAAGCTGTCCTTCCGCCTCTTCTGGGAGATGTGGCAGAGAAGAGTGGCATTTTCCCCCTCCAAGTAGTTAACCACGGGCCCTGGAGACACAGTAACATTGAGGGCCCCACAGACCTCTGCAGAGAAAAAAGGAAGGAAGGTAGTGAGGAAGGCCACTGTGTTTCCACAGGCAGACACAGTGTGTCTTTTCTCCAGGAGCCAATGTGATCTGCATGGACAGAGCTAGGCTGCCCCAGCCCCTCCGTGCTCACTTTTTGCCCCCAGGATGGCCAGAAAGAGGGCCTTTGGGGACACCCTCTGTGGGAGCACATGTCCTCCTCTATGAGATGGTCCCATCCACACAGAATGCCACTGACCACCAGGACCAAAGGTTTTGGTGGGGTTTTTTTTTTTTTAATTTGTTTAAATTAGTTGCTGATGCTTAAAATTTAGAATATGGTATTTCACATCAAATTTGGATTTTTGGAATCTCTTAAAAATTTCCAGCCCTTATCAATCCCTCCCCACTCACCTCCCCAAGGCCTGCTTGGACCCATTCCACCACCTGCATGAGTGGGCGATGCTGTGGGTTCAGGGGCTGCCCTTCTGAGCACCTTTCACTGTTCCGTCCATTTCAACTGTCACCAAGACAGATTATCAGCACCAGTCAGGCATGTATTAAACTAGTACCAAGAGCTAGAACCACAGAGGTTTCTCTATTTCTTGCTCTAAATCCCTTTGGACTCAGAGCTGACATATGAAGGAATAAAGACGAATGAGCCCAGGAACTAGGAGGGGTGAGAGAACCTCCCAGTCTCCCAAAAGATGCTACAGAATTGCAGGCCCGGTCGACTGCTTCCTGTCCTTTGGTTTCTTAGTTACATCCACCTCAAGGACTGCCCCTCCAGATTGTGCAGGGTGAGCCGGCTGCCATGAAGCTTCTGCGTGGCCCCTTCCTCTGGCCAGCAGGACCCAGAAAATATGAAGGGTGCCCAGAACCTCCTCTGTCCAAGTAGGGCTGTTTTCTCCCCAGGAGATATGTTCTCACCCCTGTGGAGCCCAGTGCACAGCTCCAGGAAACACCATTTCCTGCCCAACCCACTGCCTAAGCAGGTCATCCTAAGCCACAGATGCCCCCTCAATGTTATCTGGTCATCTGAAGGGGTTAGGGCCCTGAGATCAGAATCACCAAAATCTCTGAACTCAGGTCAGTGCTGCAGGTAGGCAAGGAGGAAGGATAACAAAGAGATCAGAGATCTGAATCTTATGCTGTGAAGAGGCTGTGAGTCAGCATGGTGAGGCCCCTGTGTGTGCCAGGGTGGGTTGGGGGTGTCATGTAAAAAATATTCCTTCCCTGGCCAGATGGCTCAGTTGTTTGGAGTGTCATCCTATGCACCAGGTTTGATTCCCAGTCAGGGCACATACCTAGGTTGCAGGCTTGATATCAGGGAGCATATGGGAGGCAACTAATCAATGTTTCTCTCACATCGATGTTTGTTTCTCGCTGTCTCTCTCTCCCTCCCTCCCTCCTTCCCTTCATCTCTCTCTAAAATCAATAAATATACTCTTGGGTGAGGATTAAAAATTATATACATATTCTTCATTGTAAAAATCAGCCAAGAAGTTCATCCTCTGGTATGGTTTCCATTACTGATTTAACAAACTGAACATTTTGAGAGATATGACTTGAAGGTCAGTGTTCTTTCATTTTCTTTCTCATCTCTTAGAAGTTAGGCTCACCAGGATACTTCAGGATACTTCAAGACCCCTAACTTAAACACATGATTAAGTGTCTTTTGCCACATAAGGTAACATTCACAGGTTCAGGGGTTAGGACACAGACATTTTTGGGAGTTGCTATTTGGTTTACCACACTATAATAATCTTTTGTTACCTTAAAAAATAGATGGAAGTAAATTCAGAAGAAAAAGACTGATGTTCAGATGGACTCCAAGTAGCTTGTAGACAAGAATGAGGTCACCTGTATCTACAGTGACAAAGGACAAAGTAGCCCAGGGAGTTACTCGGGGAATGCACGTGCTCTCTAGTAACAATCTCTAATAATCTCACTGCTGACAAAAGTCACTGACACAGGACAAAAGGGGGAAACTGCCCCCAATGTCTCCCCTGCATCTTACCCACCTGGCCTGTACCTTGCCCATATGCCATATTAAATTAGTCCAAGAGCATTTCCCCTGACTCCGAAGGTCCTGTCTAAAGACCCCCATGTTAGGAGTTCCTGGTGAGCAGCCACACAGCCAGAACACCAAACTGCCCCCATTCCAACAGCTACTTGGGGGTCCTAGAGGCAGAGAGCAGAAGAGAGGCAGCAGCTGACTTCCAGACTTGAAGTCCAGCTCCACCCGCCCCCAAGGGCAGGCTTCCCACTAGAGGCAAGGAGAAGGGGAAGGCAGGAAATCGAAACAATATGGGTGGGATGAGGGCAAAGCGGGGCCCCCACACTCCAGTCTCCTCCTGTTAACACTGCATGAAGGAGGGATTTTTATGGTGACTGAAACCAGGAGAACGTGCCAAGTGCTCTGGTCCCCAGGGAGGCCAGATTCCATCCTGGAAGAACTAGTAACCCTTCCACTTCCACAGCTCAGGCTAGGAGTCAGCAGCTCCCATGAATGGAACGGACTGAGCCATCTTCCCAACACGAGCCCTCCCCTGCTCTTTATCTGTGTGTCTCTCTGTCTTCATTCATCCCCATATTCTCTCACAAATGGCTCAAGCAAAATTCTCCCAGCAAAGTGCAAAGATTTCTGATATGGGCTGAATTGCGTCCCCTCCAAATTCATATACTGAATCCCAGGACCTCAGAATGTGATTGTACTTGGAGAAAGGGTCTTTAAAAAGTGATTAAGTTAAAATGAGACCACTAGGGTAGACCCTAATCCTACATGATTGGTGTCCTTATAGAAAGAGGACATTAGGACACAGACGCGCACAGCGGGCAGACCATGTGGAGACAGAGAGAAAGTGATCATCTATAAACCAGGGAGAAAGGCCTCAGAAGAAATCACCTTTGCCAGCACCTTGATTTCAGACCTCCCCTCAAGGACCATGAGAAATACATTTCTGTTGTTTAAGCCACCATTCTATGGTACTTTGTTATGGTCACCCTAGTAAACCAATGTAACTTTGTTCACAGGAAGGCTCATTTCAGCCCTATTTGCCACCAGCTGGACAATGACACTCACTCTCAATAAGACGTTTGGGTGGTGTGACTGAAACTGTGATGGTCAAGAGGCCCTTCAAGTCTTAAAGCTTTGCTAAAGAACACAGGCTCTCAGGTTGTGGGGGAACCCCAAGCCTTGGACCAGCTTGCTCAGAAGACCAGGTGCCCCAGGGTCACATGCTCCCCTAGGTGCAGAAATGCTTCACTTAAACCCAGGAGACACAACTCACATGTGTGTGGCTGTCAGGAGGCACCATAGGAAGGAGGCGAGAAGATGCAGGGGGGGAGCCGGTGCCTGGCCAAGGTTAGCTGAACTGGATGCTTAGTTACATACTAGGTGAGAGCCATACACAGTTTCTACCCCACCGCAGTCACAAGGACTCGTCTGGCTCAGGAAATAACACAGCAGCGGCGGGCAGGACCACAGGGAGCAAAGGCAAAACTGATACGGAGTGAGGCAGTGTCTGCAGGAATCTAGGCCTTTCCCTTCTGGATCTCAGTCTGTAGAACAGAGCATACACACCCTGCAGCGCATGGAGCAAGCCCAGCAATCCTGGGCCAAGCCAGATATAGGACAGGGGAGGATGGGCATCACCAGACCCTCCTCCACCCAGTAAGGTAAGGGAGCAGTCCTGGGCAGGGCAGAGTCTCCCTTTTCTGGCCTAGGAGGGAGAACTGTCAAAGCCTGGCCCAGAAAGAACTACGAACTAAATTTCTTGCTTTGTGACCCTGCATTGCAGGAAACTGAGGTGACAGGAAGACCCTCCCATGTTCCCCCTCCCTGGGTAACCTCTACATTCAGAGTTCCCATTTCCCCTAGCCTATGCCCCAGAATATACTTTGTTCACTTAAGCACTCAACTCATCTTTGCTGAGCAACAGCCATGTGCTCAGCAAGTATGTGTTGAGTGGACTGTGTGAAGAAGATAGCATTCCTAACTTCGTGGAGCCTTCAGTCCAGTGGGAAAGGCTGCTGTCATCAGGAAAAACACAGGAGTATGTGACAACAAACAGTATCACACACTGCAGAGACAATATCCCGAGCTTACACAAATCAGGGCATGATCCTGATATAGTCTAGGGGTCAGGGAAGAGAACCTGAGAAGGTGACCATGAGCTGAAGGATGAGTTGGACTTAATGACACAAAATTCAGGGCAGCTGAAGGAACCCCTTTCCTGGGAGAAGGCCCCACCTGTGCAAAGACCCTGAGGCAGGAGCCACCTAGAGCAAGCTGGAGATAGAAAGACCAGCGTCCTCTGGTGAAGTCCACTGCCCCATGGCCCATGCGGCCACTTGTGTCTGCAGATGGGTTTCAAGAGAGGATTTCCCGCCGCAGTCAGGACCTCCAAGGCCAGTTCTGAATGGGGGCAGGGAAGAGACTGATACAAACAAAGAGGGGCAGCATACTGCTGCAGGGAACTTTGTTCCTTCAATAAGCACAGGCTCCATTACTTGGGAGCCCCGGTTACCCCATGTAGTCTGGGCACTAGGCTGCCCATGGCTCTGGGACTTCCTAGTGGCTTGCTGGGGCTGGGCAGAGGGTTAGGGTTGGCATTCAACAAAGCCAAGTTGGAAACCTGGTTCTATTAGGAGTAATTCCCTCAGAACCTCAATTTCTTCATCTGAAAAATGGGAAGATAATTCCTTATATGGTGAGTATAAAGCTTCAATGGGAAACTTAACTTTAACATATTGATAATAGTTTGCATGCCCTGAAAACTGAACAGGGGGAGACAATAAAAAGTGACACACATGCTGACCCATGAGAAGGGTGGGTTTCCTGGGTGTGTGACCTGCAGTTACACAGGGCCCTATGCTGGGAGAGCCCCCCACCCCCCATTTGGTTTAATCTCTTCTGTCATTCTCTGGAAGTTTTAATAATTTTTTAGTAAGGGGCCCCATATTTTCATTTTGTACTGGATCCCACAAATTATCTGGTTCTGGCTATAAGCAAACACTGAATTCCTGTGGGTAAGATTGATGGGGTCTAACCCTTTTCTTCCTGTTTGGATAATGTTTTCTAACAGCTCAGAAAAAGTCTAAAGGACACCAGTGTGTCAAACAGTGCACAACCTACTCTTCTAGCACACACTCTCTCCTCATAAGGGGAGGATAGCAACTTCCAGGTACAGGAGAATATATGACTTCTGGCAGAAACAGGGCGCTGGCCTTGACTGGGAGCAGAGGTGGGCATAGCCTGAGTCCTTCTCTTCCGAGTTTGCCAGCAATGTGCTAGTGGCTCTGTGCCCTATACTTCTTTTCTGTCCTGAGGAGAACTGCCCCACTCATTCCAGAGAGCCAGGAGCCTCTATGTTTATAAGTAATGCAAATTGTGTGTACCACTCAACAGCAAAAACCTCATTCTTATTAAATGGTTTGTCTGAATTCATGACAAATAAATCTCTGAAAACAATACAACTGTATTCCTTGAAATCCCATGGCACTAGGATGAAGCACTTACTGAGCACCAAGCACAGGTGCACAGGCTGATGCATTCATAATAAGCCTACCACAGCTCTGATCCAGGTCAAATATGACTTTGACCAGTAATAGAGGCTAACATAACATTTGCTGCAGGTGAACTCCATGCCAAGCACTGCTCTAAGCACTTCAGATGTATTTTCCCAATTTAGCCTCATACTATGTTTATCCCCATTTTACAGACAAAAAGGGTGAGGCCCAGAGAGGCTAAGCTGCTTGCTCAAATTCACATAGAACGTGGTGGAGCTAGAATATGAACCTAGGTCATTGGCTTCAGAGCCAACTCTCAACCACCACTGTGCACCACAGCTTGGCTTCTACTAAATAAAATACTTTGCCCCTTGGTTTGCTGTAAAATAAAAGGTGGGACCAGGTGACTGCTAAGGTCCTGCTCTGCCCAAAAACAGAGAGGTAGAAAAGTTCAAGGGTTAAGAGTCCAGACTTACATATTAAGTGGCTCTGACAGGCTCTTCCTTCGGGAACGGGTACAAGGAGTCGTGGGTGAAACACTTAGAAGAGTGGGTAGCACATGATGAGTGCGGCCAAGCAGTAGCTGTCATCACGATCATCCTTATTTGAGCTATGTTATCTGGCGTTGGTTACAGCCAGAGTGGGCTCTAAAGAATCCTGAATTCCAGCTGAGGTCTCCTGGAACATGAGAATGTCCTTGACCCCCAAAAGACCTCTCTGGGGGGTGCCCTCTCTGACAGCACCCAAGATTAGGAAGGTGGTCATGGAGCCTGGGGACAAAGACCCCTGTGCCCTCTTGCATCCCATTAGCTGCTGGCTACTCCACACAGGCCACCAGAGCTGGGCAGGCCCAACCATCACAGTCAAACCTGCAGTTGTTGTCAGTCAAGATGATGGCAGCCCTAAAAGGAACATTTCCCACAGTGCTGATTTCAGGTTCACTAGAAACCCCATTGTTCTGGTAGCTAGAGGACAATGGGTGAATTTCTTCCCACTGGGATGATCCAAGTCACTCCTCAGATTCTGATCTGTGCTGGCTAGCTCAAAGGCCAGCTCTACCACTTGGTAGCTGGGTCACCCCTGGAAAATTACTTAACTCTGAGCATCAGCCTTCCTGTTTACAAAACAACGGCAGCACAGGTTAGCCAGTATGAGCAGAGTCTATAGCCTGGCTTCGTGGGTTCAAAACTCAACTCTACCACTTACAAGTCTTATGACTTAAGGCAAGTCAACTCAGGGGCCTGTGCCTCACTTTCCTCATCTGCAAACTGGGGACAATAATAGCACCTCCCTCAAAGATTACTGGTAAGTTTAACTGAGTTAACGTTTGTACCTGGATATATAAATATTTGCTCCTGTCATTACTTTGAAGTAGTGCTGTGATTAAGTGAGATATCTGTGTAGCACAACACTTGGAACCCAGTAGGCTCCCAGGAAACCTGACAGCCATTGAAACACTTTTTACTATTATTCTAGCCAATATGGCTCTGTCATCTCTGAGGCACGCAGGCAGGGCCCTGAGGAATAAAGAGAGAAAATTCTTCATCAACTTAGGAGGGCACAGACCCCAAAATGAAAGCCAGCAGTGCAGGTAGAGGATTCCCTTAAGGCAGGGTGCTATGTAAATAGCCCCACTTCATCCAACTGCGGATACCCTATATCGCCAGGTCTGGTCATCGCAAATGGCCCAAGTATGCCATGTCCCCTGACCCAATGTCAACTAGGGAGGTCCAGCCCCTTTTGATTGGGCCTGCCAAGGAACGTCCAAAAAGAGTTAAAGGGAAGTTGTTGCCCAGATTAACCTGCTAACAGTTGTCCGTACTGACTGTGGAGAAAAAAAGAAAACAAACCAACAACTAGGGCTCGCGCTTTCCGGTTTAAATCTTCCACTGGGAGACCTGGCCCTTGGAAGGGGGTTGTTCTGAATCTCTCTGTGGAGGGCCATGGTCCTCGCTGAGGAGGGAATGAAAGGGAAGGTGGGGGTGGGGGGGGGTGAAGAGCACCACCCGTGCCCTCTGGCAGGCATCCGCGCAGCGACAGGGACAGCGCAGACCCGGCCGCCAGTGCGCACAGGGAAGGGGAGGCCTGGAGTCGGCAGCGCCTCCTCGCCAGGCCCGAGCCCCGATCCTCGGCCATCCCGAAGCTGCCGGCCGCCCCGAAGCCGCCTCCCGTCCGCCGTGCTTACCCGGGGCCGGAGCCCGCGCCAGCAACACGGCCGCCGCCAGCGCCAGCAGCCGCATCTCCTCTCCGCCGCCGCCCCGCGCTATGACGAGGAGCAGCGCCGCCGCCCGCCCGGCCTCGCCGCCTAGCCCGCCCCGCTCCCGCCCCCAACCCTGGTCCCAGCCCCGGCAATTCCCGGCCCGCCCCTGGGCGGCCCGCCCTGCTGGGCCAGGCTTCAGGGTGCCTGGGGCCGCCCTGGGCGAGGCGAGCCCCCCGCAATCACTCTGGGGAGACCTATGAGTGTTTCGTTTCCAGTACTCCCATTTCACAGACGAGAAAACTGAGATTCTGAGAGCTGACAGGTGGACAGAGGAAATATGCAGCTGCAATGGGAGTCTCAGTCTGTTAGCTTCACAGACAGTTATTTCTAAGGGAGGGAGTCTTGGAGCTTGCAGCTGGGGTGGGGTAGGGAGAAGTACCAAATGCATCTATGTGAGGCTAACCTGCTGCCCACGCTCCACAGAAACATTTGTGAGCCGAGGAGCAGAGCCACCGCGGGAGAAGCCCTCTTTTGCCCCCCTGAACTGAGTATGGGGCTGTCAGGCACGGGGACCCTTGCAAAATGAGAGGGTCCATATGGACACTATTACAAATAAAGACCACATAGGCCTTCTTCAGCCACAGCCAGGCTAGGCACTTGGTACCATGTCATTGAATCCTGGCAACATGAGACTCCTGGGAGACCTCCTTAATCTCCATATGTCTCAGTTTCCTACATCTGTACAATGGGGAAATAGACATGTTCCTCACCAGGTGTTTAAGAGGATCAAGTTAGAAAGCCCCAGTTAAGGCCCATGACTGTCAGCTATCCTTAGTATTATTATCATAGATAAGGAAATGGAGGCAGGGAGATGAAAGAACTGACCCAAGTCACACAGCCAGGGAGTGGTGACAAGGCCACTCAGCACAGGTTGACTCTGAGTCAACACCTGGTCTCTTCATCATGGTTCCAAACTTGGGGTCTGAGTCCAACTGATATGTTAGTCCAGAATCTCCAGAGACTGAACAGTGTATGTTAGGTATATTTTGTGTGTGTGTATAAGGGAAGGTCTTTGAGGGGTTCCAGAAGTGGTAGGCTCTGCTTGGGACTGGGTCCATGGAGAAGGAGGAAAACAGGGCCCCCATGTCCTTCTCCCTAAGGGCAGTGAGGGGAGTGGGGAAAACAGAGAGAGAGAGGTGGTCTTGCCCACGGCTACTATCATGTCCCAGAGGGACCATCTACCACAGCAGCACAGGTCAATGGGTGCAAGCCTTGGTGATCTCTTCAAATCTCAGGCACTTCCCGAGGTCCGGGGGCCAGTGGTCCTTATAGGGCTCTTCTAGCTGAGACACCTTTACACGGACCAGGGTCCTGCAGGGACTGGGCTGATCAAGAAGGCAATCAGACTGGGGAGTGGCCCCACCACTCAGCCAGGCTAGTGAAAGGACCTGAGGAGTCCATGGTGAACGCTGGCTGCAAGGTCCCTGGATCTGACTGCAAGGACAAGTGAAGACAAGAGTTAAACTGGATCCAAGGTATGGACATGGAACATACCTTGGAGACTTCTAGACCAGAGCCTGGAAACCAACTAATTCTGTGAGGTCCCAGGCTTCAGTTTACAGATCAGTAAACTCAGGATTGAAGAGGATCTGAGACTCGTTCAGGGTTCTGTGGGCCAAGGAGTATCTGAACTAGGAACTGGGATTTGTGGCAAAAGAGGAGCACTGGTTCTGAAAGTAAGCTAGTGTCCCATCTGAACAGTTGTAGGTCAACTGTTTTTCCTAAACTTTATTTTCCTGATTAAGGTGACAATGTGTAAAATGGAATATCAAAATAACTACACCTGGGCAAGGAGCTAAGGAAACGACAGGGCTGTTTGGTGTCCTTCATGACCTCCCACCTCAACACTTGTGCTTATAGTTTACTCTCCTAGTTGGTAGAAAGTAGAAGGGGCCCCTTACACATGTTGGCCATACTTTGAGGAGCGAATTCCTGCTTCGGCCATTGCGTCACTTCTTAATATCCACCTCTCCTTGCACAACTGAGCACACACTCAACTCAGCATTGGACCTAAACACTCAGCCTTTCCCTTGCTTTTTTCTTTGCCAAACAGGTGCAGTGCTAAAGATTTGGGGCTGGAAAGTGTTTTTCTTGCAGTTCTGCAATACAGAACATTGTTCTGTTTGTAGCTCAATACTCTTCATATGTAGCCGTGAAGAGTCTCAGTACTCTTCAGCTTCCCAAATAATCTACCAAACATTGGTAAGACCTCTGTTGCATGACACAGGAACAGAAGAATATACCCAGTCCCCAGGGGAGACACATCCAAGGAGCAAGGTGAGACTCAGTATTTTAGTTGATGTGAACTGCAATGGCAAAGGGCTTTGCCCTGCCCTGACACACAAGCTTAGGATGATTTGAAAACCCTCCACTGGCTTATTTGTCTATCCCCTCTATCAGGGCTGACTTGTTCTGAATTAGAATAACACAATCTAATTTTATATTCTAAAACTTAACTCTTAAAAAAAACCCCGCTGTCTGGGGTTTCTGGGAGAGCATTCAGACTGTTCTCAAGTTGATCCAGATCCCTGTGGACACTAAGCTGCATGCAGGCTCCACTCAGCTAATCTGGATTCTACCAGTCAGCACTGAAAGAATCTTAGAAATCCAAATTACTTCAAAATAACTGCATCCTGCTGTCACATGGCAGCTAGGAAGTGGGAGTCTCCTTTTCCTTTTTCATTATTCAGTTGTTTGCTAAAACCTGGGTCCAAGATGAAAGTATGGCATAGTTTTGTAATTAGCTTGATTTTGTGTACAGGAAATAGATTCCTAAACTAAAACCACAAAGAGAAAGTAAAAACTTCTCTTCTAAGGTGTTCAGTACATTTCTGTGTTGCTTCTGCAATCTGGATTTATATAAGTAATGATTAAGGTTTCTTCCTCCATACAGCTCACAAGCATTTTACCATGAAAATAAGTTAGTTGTACGCCTGTGTTTTCACTAAAGAGACTGAACAAAGAGTGACTCTGGATAAAAGGGGTTTCAGCTCTGACTGATGGGGGAGGATGAGAAAGAAGAGATCACAGTTACCGAGGACATGCCCATCCAATTAGGAAAGTCATGATCCACCAGTGGCAGACCTTTCCTGAAAACCTGCAGCATCTTTTTAATGCACAACTGGGGAAGGTGAGTAGAGTGCACTGGTTTTTCCTTTATAGGTAAGGAAATGTGAAGCTATAAGCCTTCCCATATATCTACATAGAAATAGCTTCTCCAAACCAACCACACTGGTGACCCTGATAAATTGGGGTCATTCCACAAACTTTGCAGTGATTGTGAGCTTGGTATCAGGGACTCAGCAGGCTGGCTGGATGCAGAAAGAAATGGCCTCCAAATTCTAGAAGGCTGCAGAAGGAAGGGTGTAAAATGAGGGAGAAATTAAGAACTGAACAGGTTATCTAAATCAGAGACCACAGTGAAGGCCATGCCCACTTCCTCTTCCTAATGATGGGAACATTAGCAGTGAAGATAGCCCTTGAAGAGAACCTTAAAGGGTACTGGGGAAATCCTGAAAGCAGAGTGAGGAGCTTGTTCCAGGCAAGGAAGTAGCATGTATCAAAGCACAGAGGCTAAAGGATGCAGGACTTTCAAGTCCTGTGGGTGGCTTCTGGGATCCTAGAAGACCAGTTGTGTTCAGTGGGTAGAAATTGAGGCAGGAAAATAAGAAGCTAGAAAAATTCTTTGGCAAGTGGAATAGGGAAACTGAAATAGATAGCTGACTAAAAAAACTGGCCAAGCAATTTATAGCCAGATACAGAAAGTCACCAGGATGGAAAGCCCCAGGTGCCTAGCAAGAGGCAAAAATGGTGCTAAACCTCATCCCCTGGATGGCCTTTCCTCCCCTGGCATATCACTGCTCAAGAGGTTTAGACCCCCTGACCTTTCCTTCTTAGGGGTAACTTCTAGGCCTCAGTTGTATTTTAGTCCCAGGCCCAGAAAAGCAGCAAAACCAGGTGGGCAATGCCAAGACCAGTTGCAATGACTAAGGATCCCCTGCCCTGGCACCGACCTAAATCAGTGGAGCCCATTATCCTGAAAGGGCACACCTGGAAAAATTGGTGAGTACTCTATTGAGATCCTACCCTAAGAGCTCCCCTAAAGCCCAGCTTTTGAAACTCTCAAAACAGAGGAACCATGCCCACACCTTTCCCTTCTCCCTCTTCTTCCCCCACAGGCATGCATCTCTTAAACTTTAAGGGACCCCATGAGACTTGCAACAAGGGGAGCAATGGACAGTGCCCGCTCATCCCTGGCTAATCCCCTGAACCTGTCCCTGAGGGCCTCTTTTTGTCTGACTTCCCAGTGAGCTGACAGCAGCCACACCTTGGCTCCCTTCTTTCCCATAATATCTTTAGAGAGCCAAAGCAGCCTTGCCTAGTCTCTTCCCTGTTTCTTCTTCTATGCTGAGCCCTTCATTGTTTCACTATCTCCAGTTTTAATAAACTTTTCTCAAAATCACCTGGCTCATGTTGTGAAATTTTTCCTGCATGAAGTCAAGAACCCACACACTACTGGCTGGTCCTAGGTAGACGTGCTCCAGGCCTGGTCCACTTACTGGTAACAAAATGAATGGAGGGACAAATATGAACAAAGGGTCTCTTTCCTAGAGGCCTTCAAATACTTGACCAAGAAGTTTGCCCTTCATCCCAATGAGGGTGGGTGCCACTGAAAGAGAGGCGATGTCACAAAGTGCTATTCAGAGCTAGTTGCCCTAAGATGTGTTTCAGTGGTCTGTGGATTGATTTTGAGTTATGGACAACTTAACTCAAGAGAAACTCCTTTTCCTCCCTTCTACTACCTGGAAAAACTTGAATTAGGGGCCTTGCCCATGACAACAAATTATCAGAGATAATCTCTTTTGACCCATCTGTACGGTGGGACAAACTTCTATTTACAATGTCAAATTTTTAAGTCTGTGAGGCAGAGCCAGAGAAAGACAACTGGCTCATTCTCAAACCTATATGGGATTCCATGAGAACAATTGCTATTGTCCAGAG